ATGTACGTACATACGAACCTACATGTACATACGTACATATGTATACATACGTACATATGTACATATGTATATATAGATATACGTACGTACATATGTACATATGTATATATAGATATACGTATATACATATGTATATATATATACATATACATATGTATATATATGTATACATATGTATATATATATATACGTATATGTACATATGTATATATATATATACGTATGTATATACGTATATGCATATATACATATGTATATATACGTATATGTACATATGTATATATATATATATGTACATATGTATATATATATACATATGTACATATGTATATATATACATATGTACATATGTATATATATACATATGTACATATGTATATATATACATATGTACATATGTATATATATACATATGTACATATGTATATATATACATATGTACATATGTATATATATACATATGTACATATGTATATATATACATATGTACATATGTATATATATACATATGTACATATGTATATATATACATATGTACATATGTATATATATACATATGTACATATGTATATATATACATATGTACATATGTATATATATACATATGTACATATGTATCTATATACATATGTACATATGTATCTATATATATATGTACATATATATCTATATATATATATATATATATATATGTATGTATATATATATATGTTTGGAGATTGATTATTAGGTTATAGTTAAATTTGCATAGTTTTTTTATGGTCATTTTTTTATTTGACCTTTTTTCTATCAGCTAATTGAATATCCAAGCATTTTGTTTTCTCCTATTTTGCTCTTAGTTGCCATAATGGGAAATGGTTTTCTATTCATCATTTTTCAGCCAATCTCTTAATATTCGTATTAGGATAATATTTTAGCTTAGTGGAACTGGTGGATTGCTCCATGATTGATTTTCTCTTGTTCTAATATAAGCATGCTCTATTCATTGTTTAGGTGAATCATATTCATAATTATTATTTTTTTATGAATTGGATACTAAGTAATATGCGAGATAATATTCTTTTATTTGGAATTGAGCACTATGTGACCCTTGAAGCCCTTTCTATTGGTGATTGTTGTGCGCCAAATTACACATTTCAAGATGAGAATGGGAAACACATTAGATATGGGGGCATTTGTCTGGTTAAGAGGAGCACTCGCCTCTAGCTTAGCAGCACTTGCCCATTTGTTGGGCTTGGTACACCTTAGAGGGACAGACTTGGATCAAATGGATTATCCCACCTAACTTGGAGGCATTTGCTTAGATTAGGGGAACACGCCTCCTCTCTAAAGGCCCTCATTTAGAGCATTGTAGAAGCCTGACAACCTCATCCAACCAGCTAGGGTACTCCACCCATCAGACTGTCAAGCGGTTGTCTACATGTACCCCTCTAAGCTATTGCTCACAGTATTCATGTATTTGTATTTTAAATCATGTTTTTACTTAGTTATTCTTGGACTTTTTCTATGTGCTTAAAATTTTATAGATAAAGAGCCAAAGGGAGCATGTAGGCAGGTCCAAAGTAGCCTACCTTGAGCTGTGGCTAATAGAATCTTTAGAGCTTTTCTTTTAGATTTTTTTCACTCTACTTTCGTTCTCTTCATTGCTTTAACCTCATGGATCTTGTTAATTGTAATTCCTTCTTCATTTCTTTTTTATACATAATCTCCTATTTGCATAACCTCGTGTCATTCTAGTATATTACAAACTCGGTAATTGATAATAATTGCAGTGCTACCATGATCCGCTGATAGAAATGCTTTATCGTTTTTAGATATTTAGTTATTAGCACCAGCCTGTTCAGTTATCAGACAGTGAAGTCATAAAACTATTATTGTAGATGAACTCATAAAGGCCAGAGTTTCTTCTTTTAGGATGAACAACCTATAATTTTTTTTTTATTTTAAGCAGACCTGGTATGCCTAGAAACTGTAATGACTTTAGAATAGCCTTGCTAATTGTGCTTGGTGATTCATGCACCATTCTGATGCTCTAAAGTAATGCTTTGAGACCCTTTGTTTGTGCTACACTTATGCTTATTCCGAATAATGATATTGAACTATTATAAATATTACTACGTAAGCTACAAGGCAGCAAAATGTTAATTGGTTATTATTTTTTGTTTCAAGCTTTGCTACAAGCTCTGGATAATGTTGGCTGAAGCAGGTGGTTCTAAACATACATTTTGTATTGTACAGAACTCAAAGTTTCTTCAGTTCGTATCAAAGATGAGCCGAGGTGAGCTAATAGTTGATGACAATCAAATCAAACCAGCCACTGAAAGTGTGTCCGGTGATTGGGCCAATGAATTTCAGACGCAATATAATCAAAGTTCTAGCCCGTGGGTTGATCAGTTTGTCCGTGAACAGGCAAGATTTTTTCATGCTACATTTTCATATCCAGAAACCATTGAACTAGTTATTGTTTTGCATTGCCTAAATTAGGACTAGATGGAATGGAAGTACAAAATTGACCTAATTCTGGTTTTCAGCTTCCACAAGAAACAAATAATTGGATTAGTGAGTTTGCTAAAGAGCATCAGAAGGAGGTATCTGATGATCAGTGGGTGAATGAGTTCTCCAAACTGCATGTTCAGGATTGGGCAGAAGAATTCGGGCAGCAGCTTGCTGAAGGAGTTTTTGATGAAACTACTGGTGACCAATGGGCAGATAATTATGAAGAGTAAGTCTTTCATGTAACCTGATTTAAAAGACGTGAAATTCTTACTATCATGAGAATTTTTATTTTCTAATTCAGGCTTCCCAAAAGTTTTGATAATCTTTTGCATACAGTTACCTAGGTGATCAGCTTACTTCCAGACAAAAATCGAGTGCTTCAAGAGGGGTCTATGTTTTTTCCGATATGAATCCTTATGTTGGTCACCCCAACCCTTTAAAAGAAGGCCAAGAACTCTTTCGCAAGGGGCTTTTAAGTGAAGCTGTACTTGCATTGGAGGCTGAAGTTCTGAAGAATCCTGACAATGCTGAAGGCTGGAGATTTCTTGGAATTACGCATGCAGAAAATGATGATGATCAGCAGGTTAAGTACTTTCTTACCTGGAATTTTCGATCAAAATTTTTGGCTGTATATTTGTTTGTATTTCAGCTTCTTTTTTTATTTGTAAGGTCAAAAGTTTATGTTGTATTTTGATTATTTAACAGGCTATTGCATCAATGATGCGGGCACAAGAGGTTGATCCAACAAATCTCGAAGTGCTTCTTGCTCTCGGTGTCAGTTATACTAATGGCAAGTGCCATGCTTAATCCAATCATTTTCATATTCATGTTATCTGATGAAGTGCTTTACTTCCATTAGGCTGCATATTAAGTGTTACTTCATTGTTTTTCTTCGTTACAGATTAGTATGTCTAATATTTTGTCTATTTGCTAGTTTGGTGAATTTCTTTTTCTTAGATCACACTTATTTGTACGTATGTCAAGTTTCTCTGCTTGATTGTTGGCTTATGCTGGAATGACTATGTTCAAACCCATATATTTCTTAAAGGAATTGCCATAAATTTTCATCTAATTGCTCTTCATTAGGCATTAAACGGTAGTTGCTGATATAAGGTTGCATTCTACCAACTTTTTTTCATTTTTAACTGCCTTTGGGACGCTCATGAGTTGTCTTGCATCTGTTTTCTATGAAATTTAAGAGGAATCATTATTTTTCCGTCTCCCAAAACTACAAGCAGGTATTGGCAATCATGACTGAGGTCCTCAAATTGGCCATAGACCTTGTCGTGGTTATTGGAAAAATGTAGGCATAAAACCACAAATGTTCGGTTTGTCTATTCTAGGGTGGTAAATTTTTAATTTATAAACACACACTTGAGAAGTTTTTATGTGATCTCGGAGGCTTTCAAGAATACTTACAAAATTAATCTTGGAAGGCTATAAATGTAAATATGAGTAGTGACTAAAATTTCAAAAATTATTATTGTATTTTAAATTAGTGAACTGGCAAGGAAAGAGAAGTGATTCGTGTGAAAGGAGTCAAAGAAACTACCTAATCTTCACTCTACTTATTTCTCCTTATAATCCTAGGGGGCTAATTTTCATAAATAGTAAATATAGGAGTATTTAGCTATATTTTAAGAGGTGGTTGACCATTGTTTGAAATGACGTCTGAAATTTAGGATTATGTTTTCTAAATTGATGCTTTTTAGATGGCCGTGAATTGACTCTTTTTTTATTCATAAGAGGTATTCAAGATATTGATTTTAAATCTAAACCAAAAGAATTTTGTAATTCTTTCTCATTTTCTCTCTCCTGCTCCAATACTATTCAGCTATTGCTTTCCCTCATTTTTTTGGGTTTCAACCCAACAGAAATCACAATCACTAACAGCAGGGGTTGACATCCACTCAAGGTCCATTCTAGTTGTTTGACTCTTATGGTTGCTAACCATAGACCTTCTAAGGGTTGCTAACCATAGACTCTTATGGTTTTCTTTTTTGTTCTTAAATGTGAATTTATTCACATTTTAAACAAAATTCATTAAATACATTTCATAGAAGCATGTTCGCTTTGTTCTAAATAATTCTTATCTGTACAACAAGCATCCCGATTTTGGATTATGTATTTTGGAATTATAATACAAATTCAACATGCAGGATTTTCATGATTAAATTTAAGGATCATGAATGTTAAGGTGGTTGGTTTTATGAAGTTTAGAAGGGTTAAATCCCAAAATGGTCTCTCAACAATTGAGATGTGGCCAATTTCATCTCAGAATTTTTGCTGTGTTCCAATTTAGTCTCTCAACTATTGGAAATTAATCTCTATTTTTTTCTCTCAGGGACTAAATTGTGATCAATTTTGCATAGTCAAGGGACTATATTGAGATAAATTTTGTCATGATTTCTATACGAGAGACAATTTTGGATCATTTTATAATAGTCTTTGGGATAACATGGAGCATTGCAAAACTTTCGGATTAAATTTGTCACATTCGAATTGTTGGGGACTATTTTGGGATTTAATTTAATTAAAAATTATGCAAAGAAACTAAAGTCAATTAAATGTCCCTTTGGTCCAAAATAACTTGACTAAAATTATGGTTACCTTTGAAGTAGTAGTTGTTAAGGTTGCATCACCAAATTCTTCATAATTTTCCTAGAGAGAGGGAGAGTCATATTTTGAAAGATAGCTTATAGAGGGAAATCTATCAATGAGGAGATAAGTGAGACGATCTAGGAGGACACCAACAAGCTGCATTAACCAGGCAATCAAAATGTCAATTGAAAGGCAACGACAAAGCTATGATACTATGTTGGAATGGAAAGAAAAGAAAAAGACCACATATATTGACTTATCTGACTACTACGTGTGATAAGCTATGATACTATGTGTGTGTGTGTGTGTGTGTGTGTGTGTGTGTGTGTGTGTGTGTGTGTGTGTGCGCGCGCTCTCTTATTGGGGGGCACCCACTTATGCAAGTTATTAGGAAAAGTTTTGATAATCTCAAATTAGCAGGAAAGTGAAAAGTGGGGCTCATGGATCAGAGACGTGTATTGGTGTGGGTGTGTCTGTGTGTCTTTGCTCTTATTGAAAAATTTCAGTGGGGGCACTCACTTATGGAAGTTATCAGGAAAAGTTTTGATGATCTCAAATTAGCAGGAAAGTGGAAAGTGGGGCTCATGGATGGGAGACATGTATTGATTCAATTAACCGTGGATGAAGACTACATTCAGATTTTCCCTAAAAAAATATCTCAGCATTGCTGGTAAATCAATGAAGCTACTCAAGTGGTCTCCTGATTTTGACCCTAATCATGAACCTCCTACTGTACCGGTATGATTCAGTCTACCAGGCCTCACGCTGCACTTTTTTCATCATCAGGTTCTTTACTCTATTGGGGTCATACTAGGGGACCCTATGAAGCTAGATCTACTGACTTTCAACCTAACCAGACTTTCTGTGGTCAGAATACTTGTGGAAAGAGATATTACCTTACCTAATGTTACTGAAGTCTGGTTGGACACAACTCATAATGGATATTGGCAACAAATCATCATGGAGAATAGACCACCTTACTGTTCTCGTTGTAAGATGTTTGGGCATACACTTGATACATGTCATAAGTTTCATCATAATTTGAAATTTAAAGATCAAGTGAATAAGGATGGATCTAATCCCACTACTCTGAACATATCTGTTCCATATGGAGAGAAAGCTATCACAGGACAAATCTTGGATATTGCTAAAGATCAGCCACCTACCATCCCTGCTGAGAAGGTGCAAACAAATCCTTTAACCAACATCGCGGTTTCTGATGAAGAACATCATACTACAAGTACAGATGCAAAAGTGTTTATATCGCTCACTATTATTGAAGAATACTCACTTATATGCCAAGACACACGAGAGTGTTTCTTTGATTCAATCAAAGATCAGCTGGTACAATAAGCGGTTACTTCTAATGTTCAACATCCTACACATGTCCGACACACTTTAGACCAATCCACTGATCATGCGAGTCAATCTTCAGATGAAGAATGACAGGTCTATTCCAGGAGGAGGAAGAAGAAGACTGGAGGTCGACTCGAGCTTGAAAACTTATTGGATGATACTTTGGTCATTACTGGCAATGACACTCATCTTACCAATTTATTATCTGCCTCCTTTCGTAGAACTAGAGGTAGGGGCAAAGGAAAATTGGGTCGCTCTCTAGATACCTGATACTACGTTTTTTTGGCATTTTTTGTTTTTTTTTATTTAGGTCTGTTGTATTTTTCTGTATTTTCTCTTTTTTTTTAACATTTTGTATGTGATGGTTATCGTGGAGGAAGGATGCCATGCTTGGGCCCTTCCACAAAATTTTTATGTATCCTTATTTCATTTTAATATATTAGCCTTTGAGCTTTCTAAATATATATATATTACGATAATAAATAAGGGAATTTATATACAGACCATAAAATTCACATGTATTTTTATATCTAACACCCAATCTATATTTACTTGCTTAACACTCAAATCTCTAAATCATATCTAACCTTCCATTCAGTATTAAATTATTTAAAGTAAAATACATTTTCATGCATATGGTTGATATGATTTCAACACAAAAGTGTTATATAAGTAAATATTAAAGATTAAGCATTAAATTTATAAATACATAAGAATTTTTTGGTGTGTATGGAAATCCCCCTAATAATTAATTCAAATGTGCACTATAAGTAACTTGGTACATATTATAATTCTGAAGTAATAAAAGCAATATTATATTATTTTAGTTTAGTTTTCAAATTGCATACTTTTTTTCTGATATGGACGATCTGAATTTTGACCTTTCTCTGTTTTTGTATTCTGCAAATTTCAGAATTAGAGCAGGCTGAAGCTCTTAGGTATCTGTATAAATGGCTTCAAAATCACCCCAAATATAGAGATCTTGCTCCGCAAGAACAATCTAGTTCTTTTTTTCATACTGATGTAAGTGCCCAAGGAAATTTCTTTGGAAATTTTGCCATTTCTTGCTGTTACCCTTGCAAAGTAAATTGAGGTATTTAGTATATGATTCATGGTTCCTAATGCTAGTGTAGAGCAATGGTTTTTCAAGTTCACTGAGGTTTTACATTGCTTACATTTAGTGACAATATTAATTATAATTTTCTTTCCTGATACATATAGTTAAAGTGCCAAAATAGTCCTCTGATTATTTACATGGGCCATTTTAGTCTCAAGAGTCCATAAAGATGTCAAATTAGTACTTTGACTCCTTCACTATGGGCTGAAATTATCCCCAAGGAGAACTATTTTAGCCTCTCGTAAAAGAGTATGGGGAGCAAATTGATATTTGTATAAACTATGGGACTAAAATGACCCCAGAAAAGAGTGGGGGACCATTTTGACACTTTTCTCCATGTAGCAAGTGCCAGAAGGTTCTCTGTGTTTTAAAAATGTTATTAAACAATCCACATATGTGGATGTTGTTTTCCTTTCAAAAATCAATACATGTAGCAGAAGCTTTCCGATTAGAATTTCCCAAATCACTGCTATGCTGATTATATATTCAATATTATCAGATCGCTAGATTGTTCAATGAAGCAGCTCGCTTGTCACCAGAGGATGTTGATGTCCATATAGTTCTCGGTGTGATGTACAATGTCTCAAGGGAGTATGACAAAGCTATTCAATCTTTTGAAACAGCACTGAAACTCAAGCCACATGACTACTCTCTCTGGAACAAACTTGGTGCAACTCAAGCGAATAGTGTCCACAGCGAAGATGCAATATTGGCATATCAGCAGGTTTTTATTTCTTTGTATTTTGCACATTGTTGATTCCATCAGTTCAATTTTACTTGTTTAACTTTATTCTCTTATGATGCTCATCTTTCTCCTATAACTATTCATTTAAAATGGCTATCTTTTGTTTGTCATCATGTTAACTGCTTAAACCTTTCAATTATTCAATTTCATTTTGAATAATTTTCATATTTATTGTTTTGAAAATCCCAATTGAGATGCATTTTAATTTCCGATTTGCAGTTTACCTTTTTCGTTGCTTTTCACTAGTTTTTTTAAATTATAAACCTTGACCTTGTAAATTAGTAGCAAGCATTACACAATTGACTTCTTCGTTTTATTTGCTTCCGCTTTGTTGAATATCAAACCAATTTACTCAAATTGTCCTAAATTATTACTTAGTTTATCATTTTCTTGTTGTTATACGTTTCTTACTGTTTATTTAGGCGTTCTTTGGGAAAATCTGTCAGGACTGGGATAAAAGTCAAGCAAATGTTTTTAAATTCAAATATTTTTATCCTAAGAAAACAAAAATAAAATATTAAGCACTGTTTTTTCACTGCACCTTCGTAGAGTAGCAGTTAGAAATATTTACTGCAAAGCTTTGACAATTACTTGTTAAGGGATAACCTTTGATGCAATTGAAGTTTTCACCAGAAACTTTTTTTATGCTCTCCACCATGTGATAATTTTCTTCAGACAGTACTCGCAAAGCTTACTAATAATTCAACATTCAATTAATATTTTCCTATTAGAAATCTCACTTGTGTATAAACCTTGACTATTTTTGCACTTGCCTGTGGGTATCTTGTGTTCCTCTACTGTTCTAGCTGGAAAGTGGGTTGGAATTTTCTTTTTAGAACTAAACAAATGAAGATAATATAAAAACCATTCCTTTGATAAAGCCCTGTTTGCCGATTAACGTTCAAGGGAAGAAATCCAAATTGAGACTTTTATATCTTATGCTTCCACCTTTTGGATAATTTTTTTTTCCATTTTAAACAGGCTTTATAATTGATGAAGGTGCACATATAGCAAATTAGATATATTTATGATATGCTATGCTACATTGAGCACATTGTACAAATGGTGTAGCTGTAGAACTCTGTTATGAGAACGCTAACTCTGATTAAACTGTTAAGTAAATTTGTGAATTTTTTTTAATGTGTTTCTGCTAATTTTATTGACTTTCTCTTTCTTCCTCCCACCCTTTATTTTTTGTTTAGGCACTTGACTTGAAACCTAACTATGTTCGTGCTTGGGCTAATATGGGCATCAGTTTTGCCAATCAGGTTTGTTTCTTATAGTTAATAAGTACTTTTTTTATTTTTGTACTTTTTGTTATTTTGTATTTTTTAAGCATCTTTTCTTTTTCTATTTTAGTTTTGCCAACTATTTTAGTTTTGCCAATTATGTTTTTTTTTTTTCCGTTGTCATTATCAACTACTCCAACACTATCATTTTTTGTTTTCATTCCTGTTAAGGGTTTCATTTATTGTTAATTGAAATTTAGCTATATCCTATTAAAATGTCTTGCTAAATTGACTTAAACTTTATTGTTTCCTACTTTTTCATGTCCGTCCCCAGCCCCATAATGTGCGATAGTGCTAATGTCGCTGCTGTATACACTCCTCTCTGCTCTGCCTGCCCAAACCAGTCTCATTTTCTTTCTAAAATCTAAATTTTAATAGATGTTCTCTTTTTTCATTAATCTCTTTAGTTTGTGTACACATCTTCTGTCTCTTCTAATACTAGAAGTCTAGAAATGAAATATTTACGTGAACTTTTTGCCCAATTCTCCTGCCACCAGGCATCTCAAAAAGGATTAGTTTGGTTTCTCTTGATAATCATATTTATCTGCATATTACTGCTATGTTTCCTCATTTTCTTTTGCTATTATTTTAGCCCACGCTTCATCAATTTAATTCCCTTTGATATCTACTATTCTTTTATACATCTTACAGAGTTTTAACAGCTGGTGTCTGATTGTAGCTAGTCTCACCTAATTTTGTACTAGTTGTCTAGAACTTTTGCCTCCTTCCTCTCAATTTTCCTGATGTAGCTCCGCTTTACTATATGAAACTTCCACTATATTATATGTAGATATTTAAATTTGCTTGCTCTTTGAATGAAAAATTCATAAAACCAACCCCATATATTTTAAAAAAGTTGTAAATCTTTCCTCATTCCCATCACATTCTTGATTAAAGGTTTATGTTTCGGCAAATCGAAAAATAAGTTTGGCAGAGTTTCTTAAATTCACATCACATTTTTATAAAAGATTTTTGTTTCAGGAAGATTGAAATTATATGATAAGAAGCTGATGGACCCCTAGAATTTTGACGTTGTAGCAGTGTGCTTTATCACAGTCCCCACCATTTAATCCTGTATATTTTTGTTTTCATATTTTCTTTAATCTTTACAATAGTTTTGTGTCAATGATTCTTTGTTAAAGTAAAAACATGCCAAGCATCACTTCAATCACCTTCTTGATGTATTTATGTTTCAATAAAACTGAAAATAATGGAAGTTGGCATATCTACTTTAATCTGCAACATTCTTGATAAAATATTTCTGTTTCAGCAAGGCTGAAATTTTATGATAAGAAGCTGATTGATCTTTAAAATATTGGCCTTCTAGCTGTTTTCTTTTTTATTTATGAAAGACCAACCGTTTAGTATTTTGTAATTTGGCTGTCATTTTTTTATTTTGATCTTTACAATAGTTTGTGTCAATGATTCTTTGTTCTATTTATTACAAGGTTGCCAAGCATCAGTTGAACGCCCCTCAATTATGAGATGGTGGATTAATACTAGGGACATCATTTGGCTAACAGTAATGGAGATTTTTGGAAGCTGAGAAAATAATACACAAATTTTTGCCTGCAACTCTAAAGAACTGGCAAATCAAAATCAATTAACTTGAGTTTATTTGCATAGAGTTTCAAGCTAGTTAGCTTGAAATCCAGTTTTAGTGAATTTTGAGTTTGCAGTTGGTTGCTCAAAATTATAGTATATTTATTTATATTTGATACATAGTATGAATGATTTACAAATTGGTTCTCTGGTATGTAGTTTTGCAGTGTTTACTAGTGACTATTTTGCTCAACAATTCTCAACATTTCCCACCAACCAAATTTTTATTTGTGTTTGAGTCTATGATACCGGAGTTAACCCAAATCACAATATAATAGAAATATTATTGCTGAATTCAAATATAGTTACAACGACGACACTTCAATAGGAAATAAATGATAACAAACATAAAAAGGGACAAGCAAGCACCCCTAAAGTGTGTCCCAGGGTGGTGGAGGTCAGCTAGGTGAATCGGGATGGTTGACGAGGGTGGCGACAGCAAAGAAAGGCTGACGACAGCGAGGGGGGAAGTGCAGAAATGCAAGGACAGCAGGTATACTGTGCTGTCCCGGGTGATGGCAGTGAAAAGTGGGGGTGGATAGTGAGGGGACAGCAGGACAGAGGTGTTTCCTGGCTGCCCTGAGTGGCAGCGGCACAATGAGAAGGCTGGGACGGTAGGGAGGAGGTGTAGTTTGGGCGACAACAATGCTGCAAGATAGGGGAAGGTGACTGGTAGGCAGAAAACTGCAGAAAACAGCAACCCGAGAGCTGTTGTTGGCAGATGCAGTGAAGTATGTTGGCAAGAGCGACGTGGGTGGCTGCAAAAGGAAAAAGGGAGAAAGAAAATCACCACCTCGAGAGATGCATACAACTAGAGATACTACCCTTGAAAGGAGAACGGACGTCGGCAGCTGTCTTGACAAAAATCTGAAAGAAAGATGCAAAACTAACCTAAACTTAGAAAACATGCATTTAAATAGACTCCAAGCAGGTGGGAAATAGAAAAACAAAGAAGCAATGAGCGACAAATCCCAACTCTTAGTAGTTGAGAATCAAGAAAGGACTGGTTGGCGTGCCATGAGCAGCAACTCCTGGCTCTAAGAAAAGCATGGAAGGCTGGAATCAGGGAAGTAGAGAAAGGCGGAGGCGTGAATAGCAAATCCCGCATCTAAGAAGGCCGACCATTGGTACGTTTGGGTCGGGCCGGGTCTTGACAAAAGTAGTATCAGAGCTTAAGGTTAAGATTAATTAATTAAATCTTGATGAAAGAACGAATAGGATAATTATAAGAAAATTTTAATAATAAAAAAATTTAAGTTAACACAAATTAATAATTATTATATAGTGTTACACCTGAAATCATTAAAGAAGAGAATCTGAGAGAAAATGAAGAAGTACAACCTACTATAAATGTTAACGTAAATGTTTTGACTCAAATGATGGCGTTAAGGGGTCCAAATCGCTGCTATCGGTGGTGATACTGTTGTTGTAGATAAGTACTTAAAGATATTTCAGGATCTGCATCTACCTTTGTTCAAGGGAACCAAAGACCCGATTGAAGCGAAGAACTGGCTGATGAGGATAGAGAAGATACTAGATAGCATGGCTTGTCCGAATGAAGGAAGAGTACCGTTGGCGACGTTTGTGCTGGATGGAGAAGCGAAAGATGGTGGCGTGGGCAGCATTAGGACGAGCTAGGGGATATATCTAACATGATGGCTAGTTGGGAGGAATTCATGGAGCTCTTCAGAGAATGGTTTATATCCCTATCCGCTCAAAGATAGATGCAGGTAAAGTTCATCGAGTTGAGGCAAGGAGAGAAGACAATCATGCAGTATGAAGCTGAATTCACTGCACTGTCGAGGTATGCACCACAATTGATCTCTATTGCAGAAGAAAAGTGCTACAGATTCCTTTCGGAACTAAAGGATTCGATCAGACAACCATTGGTACGTTTGGGGATCGATGCATATTCGATATTAGTAGAACGAGCTAGAAGAGTAGAGATCAACTATCAGCTTACTCGGAAGCGTAAGGAGATGCACAAGCGGAAGACTACAAAAGAACATGTTCTCTCAGAAGGATCCAATGAGAAGAAGTTCAAGAATAATTTGGGTGGAGTTAACTGAGTTACAGCTCAGGTTACTGGAGTTACTTGTGCAAAATGCGGAAGACAACATAAAGGTGAATGCTTGATGGGCTCTAACACTTGTTATTTGTGTCGTCAGTCTAGTTATATAACAGGGTATTGTTCTTCTCTTGGCCAGAAGAGTATTGAAGGTCAGAAATCGGGTGGGGCTCATTCACAGTAGTCTGCAGGCGGGTAGAAAAAGATAAAGTCTATAGCTTCAGCTCCGACTTAAGGTAAACCAAGACAACCTATTTGATCTAGAGTATATTACCTTACTCATGGTGATCCTAAAGAACTTATTGTTGTTGATGTTAATGAAGTCTGATGAGTTTGGCCTATTTTTTAATTATTCTCTTGTTTCAGTATTGTTATTTGAAGTATAGTTGAGTCGCCTTGTATCGAGTATTTACCTTTATAGTGATTACTTTTTATCTTATCGAATGACCCTAGTTTCATGAATAGCTAATATTGATTTGCTTAAGGTCCGTTTATAAAATTTTGAGGACTAAATTTTTGTAAGTGGGAAGATTATAATAATTATGTTGCATGGATGGAGAGAAAACAAATAACCAAGAGGAAAAGATGGTTGAGTAATTAAACAGAGAAGACTAAGTGAGGATTCGGGCAGCTGAACGGAGGGAGAGGAAGTAAGGGGTTCGGAAGCCTAAGAGGTGACTTCGCCTTATAAATCTACGCATGAGACGGGAGCTCTCGGGCATGTAGTAAGAATAGAGGAATGAAGGAGAGGAGTTGATAGTTTTTCTTACCCAGGATACGACGCCATGTGGGAAGAAGAGGATCGTTGCTTTTCTTTGTTGTGTCAAATGGCGTAGGAAGGAGGACGGGAAGGTGACGACCGAGAAAGAAGAGGAGCTCGTGAGTTGAGGGAGCCGAAGCATTGACCGCGAGTGCTTGTACCTTTAACTCGAAGAAGTATGAAGGGGAAGAGAGGCTCTGTCGAGACGAAAAAGGGCAGGCGCTCACGTGCGATCAAAGGAGGAAGGAAACCATTCGCGTGGATTAGGACTGACCGAGGTAATTTATGGATTTAATAATAAAAATAATATTATATATATATATTGAAAAATTTTTAATTAAGTCGGATTACATAAAGTAAGATATGAAAAATTTTATACAGAATAATGAAATGATTTATAAATAACAAAAAGTAATAATTTATCTAATATATTTATGGTAGGTTTTTAATTAGTCAATGTCAAGGCAAATAACAAATTAATCGTCATCTAGGTGAGCACTCGTACTTTTAATCTATGATAATATTTTGATTTTTTCTCGATTTTTATAC